CTGTAATAGAGGCCCCAAAAGCCAAACCTACTTCCTCTGGCCCTCTACAGCGCGATTGCTGCCCCTGCCAGAGTCCCGGGCGTGGCTTGCTGCTGCCGCCAGGAGTTGCTGGGACGACCAGAGGGAGCAGTTCTGTTCCCTCAGCCTACACCCACCCCTCCCCCAGCCTCTGCATTCCTGGGATTCACTGTTTATGGCCTGTTGAAGATTAACCCTCAGGGTGACAGTGTGACCGCCTTCATCCTCTGTGCATACCTGGGGCAGGCTGGGCTTAAGTGCCCTTCTGGCGGCCTTCCTCCGGGGAAGAATTTTACACCCTCTCTTTGCCTAATCTCTTTTGCTCCAAGATCCGGTGGAGGAGCCTCCTCCTCCAGGACGCCTTCCTAGATTTCACTCCCCTCTCCGTCCCCTCCCAGGCTTCCCTTTGTTGCTGCACAGACTGTGCTGTCTCAGTCTCCTTCCAAGTCTGTCTCCCCAACTAGTCTGGGAGCCCCCTTGTGGGTGGGGACACGAAGGCGGAGCTGGGATGGTGGAGCTGGGATCGCTGGGGGTGGGGGCAGCTCTGAACCTCAAAGTGCAGAGCTATCTCGAGGCAGAGTAGGGGATCCACTAAAAGGCTGGACCACGTGACAGGGAGGCTGTCCAGGGGACCCCAGCAGGGCGTGGGGGTTGCTCTGGGCCACCTCTCTGGGCCCGAGACTGTGCTGATATGGCGCCTCATGGTCCCAAAGAACCGGAAACGCCATGAGATGACATGACAAAATTAGCAATTGCCTTTTGTCTTTGTATGACCACTCTTGTTGCTATTTGCCCCACGAGCCAAAAAGTAAAAAATTGGCTGAGGGCAGAAGGCAGGGCACCTCTCAGCCTTGTATCTCGGCTCTGGATTGCAGCCCAGGGCCAGTGTCTGTGGTCCAGGAGTCTGGTGGGAGCTGTCCGGGGGCCCATGAGAAACTTCTGCTCGCAACGGCAGAGTCGAGTCCAGGAGGAGTGAAGGCGGGGGGGGGGGGCTACCTCGGACCCTCAGAGCAGCTGCCGGGGGACGGGTGCAGCTTTTCCCACTGGGAGTTCCTGGGAGCTCTCGCTCTGGCTACATCTCGCCCCTTAGAGAGTCAGTGGTCTGCTTTGGCCCAGGGGGCCCTGGCATCCAGCCTGGTGCTGCTGCCCTGGCACCTGGGGGCTGTGTGAGCCGGGGAGGTCCTGCCTCCCCCGGTCCCCCTGCTACCCAGCCCAGTGGGATGGTGGTCATATACCAGGACGGCCGCTGTCCTTGTGTCCAGCGTCTTCTTGGCAAGTGAGAACTGAAACTTGTTACAGCCCTGCAAGGGTCAGAGCTGCTGACCTCGAAGGGCACTTAGACATCTCCAAGCCCAACTCCACCGTCTGAAAGGGGGGAAACCGAGACCCGAGGAGTGATAGGCTCTCTCCGAGGGACCCAAAGGCTGGGCTGGCCCTACCCTGTGTAGCAGCCTCCGAGGGGACCGCACTTCGGAAAGCCCCTGATTTGAAAGGCTCATGTTCTTCTTCTGGAAGGCTATTCAGGGACACTTGCAGAGTTGGGGTATAGTCTGTGAGGCTGGGGTGGGAAATGCAGAGTTGGGGTGTTCTGTACAGAGTTGAGGTACATCCTGCAGAGCCAGGGTACAATGTACAGAACTGGGGGGCGCTGGGCAGAGTTGGAGCTCTCTGCAGAGTTGAAGAATGCTGGGCACAGTTGGGGAGTCTCTTGGAAACCACCTTGGGCCAAGAGCAGCTGCAGAGACAAACAGGATGTGGAGTCTTGGGCCATGGCAGGGGACAATGGCCAGGAGAGGAAATGTGTCCAGACCCATGTATGGCCCTGGAGCCTGTCTGGGGCCTCTTTCAATACAGCTTGCAGAAAAACAAAGGGAGAAGAAGCAAACAGCTCGTGTTCGGCACAAGGTGGGGATCCGGAGAGCCAGCTGCAGAGCTGGGGGTGCCCACTTCACAGATGCAAGACTGAGGCCGAGACTAGCGGGGACACATGCCCCAGGGCACACTGTGAGTTGCACAGAGGTCTCAGTGCTGAGAGCAGCTCCTCTGCACAGCCCCCCGGGGCCTCATGCAGCACTAGGACAGGCCAGCCGGCTCACTGAGCGGCCAGGCCTGGGGACAGGTTGTGGCGCTGGCCCTCTGACACGTAGCAATTTCTCCACTTGCCTGGTGAGCTCTGTCCCCAGCTCTTGGCTGTGCAGGGCCTGCAGGAGAGGACCGGGCACTGGAGTTTGTTGAATGAACAGATGTCTGAGTATAGCTATGTCATGCACCCTGTGGGAGAATTCCTGCCTCTAGTTTAAGCCACATGATGGCCCAGAGCAAGACCACAAAATAGCCCCCAACCCACCCTGGGCTTCCCTGAGCAAACAAACACCGAGGCCCAGTGACCAGCACAGCAGCGCTGAGCTTCCAGGCGGCGTCAGTGTCCCAGGTGCCATCGCCAGCTCGGCTCCTGCCCTGAGGGGCAGCCTGCACTGGAGACAATGGGCTGAGAGCCTCACCTTCTGGTGGAGAAGGACGAGAAGTGGGGTTGAAAGGCTGGGGGCGGAGGTGGGCGTGGGCGTGGGCGTGGAGGGAGAGGTATGCTTGCCCAGGAGAGGGGTCCCCGCGGAGGCTGGGGCGAGGGAAACCCAGCGCCCGACGTCCTGTGGCCAAGGCAGCAGGCCCCTTGCCAGGGTCTGGGCATCACCTGCGCCCAAGGCTGTGAAGCGGGAGGTGCAGGGAGCGGGACAGAGGCCACTGCCGGCTGGGCTGGGCTGGAGGGAGGCCAGCCTGCAGTAGGGTGCTGAGGGGGCTGGGGAGGTGGAGAGGCAGGTGGAGCTCAGGACACCAGAAAGCCTTCAGGACAGGACCCTGGGCCTTGAAGGACTGCAGTTCGCTGAGGCCGGGGGAGCCCGGCAGGAGGGCGCTGTGGTCAGGCAGGAAGGCACCCCCCATACCAACCCCAGACCCAGCCTGCTCCACCCTCCCGTGGGCATCTAGTGCACCGGCCTGGAGCGCGGCCCCCGCAGGAATGTCCACCGGAACCTCTGATCACACGCTTACTTAGAAAGAGGGTCTTAATGTAATTAATGTGAGGATCTCAAGATGAGGTCCTGCTGGGTTATCCGCAGGGCCCTAAATACAATGATGAGTGTCCTTATAAGAGAGACAAGAGGACACAGAGGGGAGGCCGCTGACAGGCAGAGATTGGGGTGATGTGTCCAGGAGCCCAGGGACGCCTGGAGCCACCAGGAGCTGGAAGAGGCAGGAAGGGCTGCCCCCAGAGTTCCCCGAGGGAGCCTGGCCCTGCTGACACCTTGATTTAGACTCTGGCCTCCAGAGCTGTGAGAATAAATCACTGTTGTTTGAAGTCGCCCGGTCTGTGGTACTCTGTCACGGCAGCCCCAGGACACACACAGTGACCGTCACAGCTGCTCTTCAAGAGAGATTGCTGTCCCCACTCCACGGAGGGGACAGCCAGGCTCAGAGACGCCACGCCTCCCAGTGGAAGGAAGAGAAAGGACTGCTGGTGGGAGCAGCTACCCCCCTGCTCTGGGGCCTCCTGGTCCCTGGGGGCCCACAGGGTGGCGTGAAATTCTCCCCTGATACTCGGCCTGCGGTCATGGGGGCTGTGAAAATAGCCACCTGGAGCCTCTGTTTCCTGCTTTGCGGTCACCAAGCACATGGGTGGTGTGCAGGGTGAGGCCCAGCTGGGCTCGGGGTGCAGGGAGCCTGAGTGCTGGGCCTGGCTCTGCCAGCAAGGTGAGTGGCTCGCTGGCTCCTGTCCTCCGTGGCCAGCGCGGGTCCTCAGCGGGGACCTTGCCGGCGTGAGGAGGCCCGGCTCCTCCCTTACACCTGGGCTCCGGGCCGCTGCAGAGGGGAGGGGGATATATGACTTTGGGGTGGCCGGGCATAATGCCAGGAGTTGGTCAGAGGAAGGACAGATGGGGTGGGAGGGTGTCATCCAGAAATACCTTTGCCTAGAGTGGTTCTCAGCCTGGGTGCCATTGTCCCCAGGGACAAATGTCTGGAGATGTGTCTGGCTGTCACAGCTGGGGTCAGCATCTAGATGGCAGAGGCCAGGGATGCTGCTAAAATCCTGCAGTGGGCAAGGCAGCCCCTCCCCATGACCAAGAGCGATGCCCCAGATGTCAGCAGGGCCGCAGTTACCGTGGCCCGGGGCCGTCAGCGTCTGTCAGGCCTGGCTCTGGGCTGTCTTCTAGTTTCCACTGGCGCTGGGCCTGTCACGTGACCTCCTGGCCCTCAGTTTCCCTGTGTATGAAACGGGCACATTAGCGCTTCATTGTTTCTGGTCATTGAGCCGGGGCATATGGGAAAGCCCAGCCTATCCAAGAATGAGACAGACAGAGAAGGTTGAGTCCTGCTTTTTTAAAAACATCTTTTTTTGTGTGGGGGGAGGTAATTAGGTCTATTTATTTATTTTTAGAGGCGGTACCGGGGATTGAACCCAGGACTCCATGTATGCTAAGCATGTGCTCCACCACTTGAGCTACACCCTCCCTCCGGTTCCTGCTCTTGTTTCCTGGGTCTGGGCTGAGGCCAGCGACCTCTCCGGCCTCTGGGAGGGCCTGAGAGCAGGTAGGGGCTGGGGCCAGAGGCCGACCCCAGTTCAGTTCCTGCTTCTTGCCCAGAGGCTGGAGACCAACTCCCTGCTCCCCAAGCAGGGCTGAGATTCCCTGCTCTCAAACGCAGGTTGGGCCTGGAGCCAGCGGGAAGGCGAAGAGGGAAGGCGAGCCTGTGGGAAGATGCCTTCTTCTACTGTGCATGTTGGAGTGATCGGGCCAGCGGGCCGGGGCAGCCCTGGGCAGAGGGAAGCAGCTGTATCTATGCCTGTGCATGTGAGTGCATGCGCATGTCCTCCTGTGCATGCCCGTGCACGTGTGCGGGTGCGTGTGCGTGTGTGTGTGCGCGCGTAGCACATGGAAGAGGGACAGCTGAGGCTGGCAGGGCAGCTGGTGGACTTCCCCAGTATCGGCGGCTCAGGCGAAAGCCTGGGTGGCCCCTGGCCTCTGCCTCCGAGCCTGGGTGCCCGGCAGCGGGCAGGCGGGACGAGGCCTGGAGCTGGTCCAGGACGGAGCTAATGATCAACCGGCCCTTGGAGGCGGTGCCGCCGCACGGGGCCTGCCCCTCGCCAGCGGCCCGGGCGCAGGGAGGAAGTCGGGCAGGAAGCCGGGGGCGGTGGCGGCCGCTGTGCAGTCAGCTGGGCCGTGGGTGCCCTGGCTGGGGGAGACGGCCTACGGGGCCGGCCTGCGGTGCCAGCCTGCGAGGAGCCGGGAGCGGCCATCTGGTGACTGCGGTCACCTCTGAGGAGTGGGCGCAGGTACGGGGTGCTGGATGGGGGTCGGGGGGCAAGGACTGGCTGAGCAAGGGTCATCCGCAGAGCCGGGTCTTGAATCTGAGTCAGCTCTTGCCTTTCACTTTCTTGAAGACTTTTCTGACCTTTTTGAAGACTTTTCTGACCTTTTGGGATTGGGAGGGAGCAGAACAGCCATCTGGGGAGGCCCTGATGGCAGTGGACACAGGGTAGCAGACGGGCCGGGACGCTGGGAGCCGGGCTGTGTGGCCGGCAGTGACCGCTTTAGTGATGTTGTCAGGTTTGATAGAGCAACTTGCTCCCGTGATTTCACTTGACTCCCTCTTCACACGGGAACCCAGCCAGTGTGTCCCGAGGGTCTGGACAGGGCGTGGGAATGTCACCAGTAAGCAGGGTTCTGGGTCTAGGGGCCTCAGGTGGGCCCCCACCCTAGGTTGGCGTCGCCTCAGGCAGACACTCAAAGTGCCCACTCAGGGTGGCGCTGCAGCTGTGACCCAGCCACTCTGAGGTCACCGCCCCTCTTCTCCATCAACAAATGAGACAAGTGACTTGATGAGTGACCCCAAACAGAAAGTTCTAGGGGAGACCCAGACCCAAGTCTTTTAGTGCCAGGTCCTGCCTTGAGCACGTGGTCCCAGCAGAGCCCTGAGACCCTCCCCTAGCCTTCAGGGACCCGCCTGGGAGCCCCAGGCCCATCTGTGAGGGTTTCATAAAGACAACAGAAGGCAAAGTGACACTGTGGGGAGTTAGTGATGCCGGCAACTTGGGGTGTGCCCCCCACCGAGGAGAGTAAGGGGGCAGGGAGGCTGGGGCTGGGCCGAGCGGGGACCTGAGGCGGGGTGTGCCCAGATTAAGGGTGGGTGTCGAGGACTGGGCTCGGACCCCGCTGGGTTCACATCCCATGGGTGTCCCCCTGGCCTGGCCGAGTCAGCTCAGTGCTCATTGCATCTTGATGGCCCGTCTGTGAAGTGGGCACCGTCATGCTCCTCAGGCCGTGGAGTAGACTAAGCGAGGACACTTAGCGCCGCGGGTGGTGGCTCCTGGTAGTGACCGTGCTTCCAGAGTTGGGTGTTGTGCCAGCATTTGATGAGCCTGAGGTCACTTAACCCCCTCCCCAAACATCTGCCTCACAGCAGGGACAATCAGGGCACGGCGGACAAGGGGCGACCCCCAAGCTGGGGCTGCTGCGGCAAAGTGCCGCCAGCCGGGGGCTTCAAACAACAGAAGTGTGTTCCCTTCCAGTTCTGGGGGCCAGAAGTCTGAAGCCCAGGTGTGAGCAGGGAGCAGCCCCCGGGGGCCGCGGGGAGGGTCCTTCCTGCCTCTTTAGCTCCTGGCGGCTTGTGGGCTGTGGGCGCATCCCCCTAGTCTCTGCCTCTGTCCTCACATGGCATCCCTCAGTGTCTCTTGTGTCCCTCCTCTTCTTATAAGGACCCAGTCCAAGGTGACCTCCTCTTAGCCTCACCTGCAAAGACCCCATTTCCAGGTAAGAACACGTTCTGAGGTTACGGGCGGACATGAATCTGAGGGACACTGCTCACCCCAGGCCAGGGAGTGACCAGACAGCCCACAAGAGGTGCCTCCTGGTGAGGTGGGCGAGGTCTGCTTGGGTCCTCGAGAGAGACCCGTTTGGGTCCAGAGAGAGCTCCGGCCAGGCCTCCCCAAACCATCTCCTCCCTTCTTCCACCCACACTTATCACACGCCAGCTGTAACCCAGGGCCGCACCCTTTGATCCACTGACCTCCATGTAGCTGCTGACCTATTTCATTCTTATCCTCCGGGGGTCAGGGCGGCCTCCTGGCCCCCTGAGCCCAGGCCTCAGCGTTCTCGAGCCAAACTCCCGTCCCTGAGGGCTGGGTGCTAGCTGGGGCCTGAAGCCTGTTTCTGACCCACCAGAGTGAGGAGGGAAAGAGAGTTCCCGAGCCTCCGCAGGGCTGCCCACGGGAGGCCTGGACCCTTGCCGGCTGTGGTCCGGGCGGCCCCTCCTGCAGCTGGGAGCTGGTGCCTGTTCAGCTGAGCAAGGCCGTTTTAGGAACCTGGTGGAGGGACCCTCCCGGGGAGAGAGACCACTTCCTCATGCCGGCTGTGACTAGGAAACCCACGCTGTCACCAGCAGCCCCGCCTGGTGGGCAGGGCCCTCACTGAGCGGGTGGGAAATCCCCTGAGCCCTGAGGCCTCCCCTTTTCTCAGGAAACCGTCCCTGAGCCACTAGGGGCAGGCCCATGGGCCCCAGATGCAGGCGAGGCGCCAATGGGCAGGTCCTGACTTGGGCGGAGGCTGGCGGTGGGGAGGTGGGGGAGGAGAGAGGCAGACACCCTGAATGTGGCCCCGTCGTGCAGAGATGCCTGGCTACAGAGCGGGGAGGGGGCCCGGGGAGGGGCTGGAGACTCACAAGCAGAACCCGAACAGGATGACGGATCCAGTGTTCCACTGAGATGCTTCGAAAGAGCAGAGCTGCCAGGAAGCCACGTGCGTCCTGGTCCTGGCGGCCCCCTGAGCCCAGGCCGGCATGTGCTCCACCACACGTGCGGGGATCGCTGCTTCCAGAGTGCAGAGGGGAAGGACGCGGACGCCGGCTTGGCTGGGAGCCGGGGAGGGAGGCCAGACAGACAGAGCTGCATTCTGAAGGGTGCCTGGAGGTCTTCATGTGAGACAGGGGTGGGGACGGCACCTGGGACCAGGAGACAGGGCGTACGAGGCACCAGGGGTTGACACGACGTCAGGCCATTTAACAGGGCCGCGTGCAGAATTCCTGGAACCCGCCGGCCCGGGCAGCTGCTTCCTCTGGAAACGTGAGCAGCCTCCAGCCCGCTCCCTCCTCCCTGCCTGGAAGGGTGCCAGGGTCCCCGGGGTTTCCCTTGGGGCCGGGTGCCCACCCCCAGCTCTGGCCTTCAGAGGTGGTTGGGGGAGGGGACCAGGTCACAGCTGGAGCAGTGGGCGGGGGGCGGGGGTGGCGGCTTTGTGCTGCTGCTATGGCCTCGCCAGCCGCTGGCTGCACGGGCCGTGCGGGTCCCCATGGAGGAGCAGGCAGCCCACCTCCTGCCTTTTCTCTGAGGCGCAGGGCTGTTTGGGACTGAGCCATACACAGGGAAACCGGAGTATTTCTGCCCAGAAACACGGCCATTCCTGCTTCTGTGTTAAGTCCATTTTAGAAGTTATGCTAGTTCAGGAGAAAGCAGGCCAGAGACAGCTGTGACGAACTAAAGCAGGCCGTCCCCATCCCTGGGCCCTCTCTTGCATCTGCAAGGGAGGGTTGGCGAGGAAGTGGGCCTGGCGACAGCCATGTGGGCTTAGGCTCCCCCTCAATGTCGTCCCAAGGACCCTGGGAGGTGAGGCAGCTCCCTGAGCTGCCGTCGGAGTGGCTACCATTCGCCTGACATCAGAGGGGTGCCCTCCGGAGTCCAGTGCACAGAGGCCTTGGGGACAAAAGGACACTGGGCAGCTGGGCTGGGCGCATCGGGTGTGGGGAGTGGCTGGCAGAAGTGCCCCAGCCTGGGATCCCTAGGGGCTGAGAAAGAGGGTGGGCACGGCACCAAGCCACCAGTCCCTGGATGTCCTGTCCAGGGACTCGGGAGGAGAGCAGGTTGCGGGGGTAGGCCTCCTCCCCTGGCATTCAGAGCCGGGGGGGTCTGGCCTCCGCGGATGCATAGCTGTGTGGCCTTTCTGAGGTTCACATTTCTCCTGGTCAGCACTGACCCCCTGGGATGGTCGGCAGGCCTCTGGCTGTCTCCCGGCTCTGCCTGGACCTGCTGTGGTCTCACTGGATGGCCGCCCCACCTCCCCTCCCTTTCCCCCTACGTGTTCCCCCCAATTCACGGTTCCTGTCTCCCCCAGGGGGCCTTCCTGACTGTCGGGCTCCCTTCCCTCCACCGCTGGGGTTAGGAGACACTCTTCCCTTCCCAGAGCTTGCCACGTGGAACCCGCACTAAATTGTTCATGTCCACATCCCCAGTCACAGCAGTCCTCCTCCTCTGTGCCCACCGCCCGCACAGAGCTGGCCACAGAGTAGGGGTCAGCGAGGGTTTGTTGGGGTCTGACCTCTCGATCCTGCAGGCAGAGGTGATGATGGAGGGGCCTGGGCCCGGGATGAGCTCAGGGCCAAAGTCAGTTCTGGGAGTCAGCAGGACCCAGCGGGGAGTGGGTCTGGGCTGCACATCTGCCCCCTGCCCGCCCCGGCACCCCCACCCGGGTGAGACGCTCCTCGCCCCACACAGAGCGTCTCCGAGGGATTGCTGGTGTCTCCAGGGAGCAGCGTGGCTGTGGCCCGTCTCCCCAGCCGAGGACCAAGCGGGCAGCTAGGAGACACCCAGAGGCAGCAGGATGGCCAGTAGGAGCTGGTTGTTTTGGTGTGAGCTTCTGTGTTTTTTTCCTTTTTAAAGCTAGGGACCCTGGGCACGGAGATGCGGGTGTGGGGGAGGGGTGTGAGTGTGTATCTGCGTGCAGGAGTGTGTGTGCTGGGGGAGTCAGTTGTCCGCCTCCCAGGGTCCCGGCTTCCCCATCTGTAACGTGGGTGACGTGCTTTCTCTGCTGGCTGCAGTGAACCTGGCCGAGGCAGCTGGTACATGCAGGTGGTGACAAATACTCGTGTCTGAGGCCCACTGGGAGCCTGCGGAGACTCGCTGCTGTCCTGGATCCATGTCTGGTCCTCAAGCTGGGCCGGCTCTTGGACGGAAGCCTGGAGAGAGGGTAGGGGCAGGAGCTGGAGGGAACTGGGCTCCATAAGTCGTTCTGAAAATATTATTTCCTGGGTCTAATGAGGGTCCAGCTCCCCTTATTGTGGTGAAAACTCAAGGCAGGGAAATAAACCCAAGGGCCCATGGCATGTCCCACCTCCCACCTCTCCTCTTCTTCTCTTTCTGCACAAGTGCTGGAACCAACCTCTCGAGGGATAGAATGGAGCCCCTTCCCTGGGTTGAACATGCTCCAGGGACTTCTCTCTGCCTTCACGGGGCTCTCAGTGCCGTGGGGCCTCCTGCCTCTTCTGGAACAGCCTGTGAGCCTGTCCTGTGCCCCAGACCTTAGTCCCGTGGTGTCTTGACAGCTAGACAGCTGCTCCCACCCACCTCCTGTCTCCTGCCCACTCTCTGCTGCAGGGACCAGGGTAGAGCTGGGAGACTGGCCCGGGGGCTCTTGGGTGGTCCAGGGCGGGTGGGTACATCTGGGCTCTGAGCCCTGCGCTGCTGGCCTGGAGTTCCCTGGGTCTGCCCCTGGGTGCCTGACCCCCTAGAACCCGCCCCGAGAGCGAGCGAGTCTGGAGGAGGTCAGACCTGCCTATCAGTTTGCAGTTTTGTCCCCAGAAAGGGAGTTCGGGGGTGGGCTCTCCTGTTGCCCCCTGTGTCCTGCCCTGTGCAGAGGGGATTCCTGCTGGCCCAGCCTGGGTTTGGAGCTGAAATCTCACCGACAATCATCAGAGAACAGTGAGACCCTAACCCTCACCCTCTGTGTGAGTTAGCAGGTCCGTTCCTTGTCCCCTCTGTCCTCGAGGCGGAAGCTGAGCTGGGGCGTGGTTAGTCCCTTTCCCTGTGGCTGTGGCTGGGGGTGGGCCTCTGTGCTCCTCAGCCCCAACCGAGGCTGCACGGCCCGCCCTCCCTGTCACACTTGCCTGTGTTCCAGGCCCCAAAGGGTGCTCTGTGTCCTCCTGTGTCCTTCAATTGGTGACAAAGCCCCTGACTCTGGGAGCATCGTCTGGCCGGTCGTAAGGGCCCTCACTCATCCCTGACCCCCAGGAAAGATTGATGCGTAATGCTCAGCTCTTGGGGGGGAGACCCGGGGGGCCCCCCGGGGTCGTGGGGAGCAGGGGCTGGTTCCGCTTCGGCCACTTCCTTTTTTCCTGCCCTCTGCCACCTGCTTCCTGCCTGCCCGGGGTAGCCTGGGACCCGGCCCATTTCCTGTGAAACTGGACGACGCTCCTTCCGGGGACTCAGCTGGAGAGCAGGCCTCTTCCAGCGAGAGACAAGGAGCCCCCTGCGCCCCTCTGGCCGCAGAGGTTGTTTATGAGGAGCAGCAGGACCTCCTGGGAACCCGAGGCTAAAAGCACAGCGCAGCTGAGCCCTGGGGGGAACAGAACTGGACAGCCTTCTCTCGGGAGATGTGTTGCCTCTGGGGACGTCATTCCTGACTTCTCGCTGGGGGGGACGTGAGGTGGGCTTATCCCTAAACCATGGCCCCAGGGGTGTCCCAACACAGCCTTTATGGCGCTCCGAAGCCTCCACGCGCCAGGCTCTGAGCTGTTTCCTTGGGGTCCCTTGCTGAGCAAGAACAGGCACCCCACCCGCCCGTAAGGACGCCTAGCTGGAAGCAAACGTCGGCACATGTCTCCCAGAGCCTGTTCCTGGTGGGCTCGTGCAGTCTGGAGAGAAAGTAAAGGCCTGGAAGGATGCCCATGGGTCCACCAGGCAAGTCACTGCTGACACTGCCCTCTGCTTTCTGCACAGAGGCCAGCCTGGCATGCAGAGTCCTTGGCATTGAGGCCACCACCAGTCATGAAGGGCCTGGCGGAGGTGGCCTCTGAGGAGCCAGCCCCGACGGGGAGAGGGCCGGCAGGACCCTCAGGAGGCAGCGGCGGCAGTGAGGTCCAGAGAGTGCCTGTGAGCGCGTCGGTCGTCTGGGAGCGAGCAGGGCCCGAGGAGGCCAAGGCCACGGTCAGAGAGGGTGAGTGTGGCGTGCCTGTCCACCCCACCGTCCGCCCCGCCCAGGACGGAGCTGGGGGTCTGCACTGGCCGCGAGTGTGCAGAGAGTACAGCGCCCAGGGAGGGCTCACGGGAGATGGGCCTACCTTGTGCCTCTCCAGGGCACGGAGAGAGGGGCAGAGGGTGGAAATTCTAGAAATGCAGTCCTAGGCGACTTTATAGCTCTTGTACAACTTTGTGTTCCCATAGTCCTGCTTTGTCCTCAGGATGTGAACCCTTGGATTACGCAGGACAGGACATTTCCCTAGGAGGCCCAGGGAGGAGAAGGGACCAGTGCCTGGGCCAGGCCTTGGGCAGGATTACTTCCTGGGTGGAGGAGGATGAGGGCAGTGATGGGGGCAGGGCCGCAGCCCACCTGGCCAGCCCAGGTGCGCACAGGAGGGGTCGTGCAGGGATGCAAGCCTGGGCTGGCTGCCGGCGGACCTGGTTCTGATCCTGTTTGTCAACTTGGGCCTCAATTTCCCCCCGGGAAACCTGAGGGGTGGCCACTCTGTACCTCCTAGGGTCCTGGAGGAGGGGAGGGAGGAAGGGAGGGGGAAGGCTGAGGTGGGCCCAGGCTCCTCCTCGAGCCAGGACACTTTGCCCTCCTGCCCCTCCCCAGGCTTCCCACTGTCACATTGTCCACCTTCCTCCTGGCCACCTGCTTAGTTGCCCACTGGGGGTCTGGGCTTGGCACACAGCAGATGCCCGGTGAATATCTGAATGATCAATGATGGATGCTTTGGGAGAACGGAAACAAAGCCTCATGCTCGGTGCCTGGCCCGGAGCCCGGCATGGTGCGTGCTTGGTGGTCGGAGGAATCTTTACCCCTGTTTTCTTGGTCTTTCCGGGCTTAAGCGGAGATGGAGAGGGCTGGGGTGTCCCTCGTGGGTGGCAATGCCTGTCGTCGGACACCTGTCTGGCCTGGAAGAGGGGCTCCTAGGAGCTATGGAGGCCCGGCCTGGGGGTCCCACGGGGTTGGCCCCCCAGAGCACGGCAGCACGGGATGGAGGAGCTGGGACCTGCTGGGTCCTGCTGGGTACACACGAGTGGGACCAGCCTCCCACGGGGCAGCCAGTGCAGGCAGGGCCCCCTCCTAGAGCGCAGGATCCCTGCGGGCTGGTGCTGCGGCCGAGCCAAAGCACCCTGACCGGGTTGCTAGGTGTTTCCCGCCCTAGCAGCTCCACGACCTGGCTGGGAGCCCGGGCAGCGGCATCAGGGAGCTCCTCCGGTCTCCTCAGGCGTGCCAGCCACGAGCAGCCATGTGGCCAGTGGACTCTCACCACATCCACCTTTCGGCTTCTTTTGCAAATTGGCCACGAAAGTTGCAAGAAATAATACAAACATTTCCATCTGCCCTCACCCAGATTCCTCAAATGTTAACATTTCACATTTGCTTTCTTTCTGTATTTACATATTTTTTTCAGGGTAGTTTTAAGAGTAAATTGCAGAAATGTTGCCCCTTTCTCTCACAAGTACTTTGGCGTGTATATTTCCTAAAACCAGGAACTGCTCTTACAGAGCCACAGTGCAGTGATTTCAAAGTTACTTCCTGCTTTACAAAACACTGTTATCTAATTTACAGACCTCGTTCAGATCCTGCATCTGGCCCCATAATGGCCTTTACAGCAAAAGGAAACCTTGGCCAGGCCGTGTGTTCTGTGGGCATGTGTCTGCGGGGTCATTTAACCTGGAGGGTGATTCTTTGAAGACGACGGGCCAGTTACCCTGTGGCAGGCAGGAGTGCGGGCGGTGCCCCGCGCAGAAACCCCCGGAAGTGAGGTGTCCCTCTCGTGCAGCCGGCCAGGAGGCTGCGACATCCATCTGGCCGGTCCCTGGCGACGTCCACGTCTCAGGGCAATCACTTGATTAAGGGGACGTTCGGCAGTTTCCCCCACCATAAAGCCATCTCTCCTCCCGGTCATGAGGAAGGAGCCCGTGGGAAGGTGCTTGGGGACCTTGTGGATATGCTGTTCCTCTTCAAACTGGGAAGGCACTAGTTGTTTTCATCCATGCTCGGTTCTGGACGGAAACCGCAGTGTGATGATGGCTGCTCGATGGTGACTTCCAGCCCTGTGTCCCCTCTGTGTGGATTAGTGGACTTTCCACTGTAGCAGAGAGCTGCTCCCCCGCCCGTCACTCATTTATTTATCTTCCTGTGGGCTCAGAGGTCTTTAGTTTATCCTCTGGACTGTATCAGTTGCTGTCATTATTTTGCTGTGATTCAGTCCTGTGATGTGTCTCCAATATCCTCTGAGCATGTCCTACTTTCTGGGACCACGAGAGGAGGTCCCAGGGCGATGAAGAGGCTGCACTGAGGTTCAGCACCTCCTGCTGCAGCCACGGGTGTTTCCACATCAGATCTCCCTTGATCCTAAGGCCCCGATCGTTCATCCCATTTTACAGACAAGGAAATGGAGCAGGGCAGAGACAGCGGTTGGGGAAGCCCCTGGCCCAGATACCAACTGTGAGCTGGCCTCGAGGCTGGAGGCTGGGATATAGGGACGACCAGCAGAGGACAGAGTTGCCACTCAGGGTTCAGCAGCCGGTCCTCTGCTCAGGCCCCTGGGAGCCCCTCTGCCCCTGCACTTTGGGTTATCACACCAAGGCTCACCAGGCTGTGGTCTCACCCAAGGCCGAGAGGACACGTGGCACCCCCAGTGAGTGGCTGGTCCAGCTTGATCCACCATGCAGCCCCATCCACCCCAGACCCCGAGTTCCCTCTGGACTGTCACCCCTCCTCTGCAGTCAGCAGAATACTCATCCCCAAAGATGTCCACATCCTGATCCCCAGAACCTGTGCGTGCATATGTCCTCCCATGGCCAAGGAGACTGTGGATGGGAGCATGGATCTTAGATGGGGGTCAGAGGCGGAGGATGCTGGGATGCCGGCTTTGGAGATGGAGGAGGGGCCGCAAGCCAAGGAATGAGGGCACCTCTAGGAGCTGGAGAAGCCAGGACATGGATTCTCCCTGGAGCCTCCCAAAGGAGCCAGCCCTGCCGACACACTGACTTTGACCAGCGAGACCCTTCTCAAACCCAGAAAATCAAGATGACACACTGTGCAGTTTTCAGAAGCCACTAGGCTGGGGGTTACTGGTCACAGCACAACAGGAAACTTGCAGCCTGCTGACCTCGTCGTGTTCTGTCACCTTGGAGGAAGGGTGTGAGCTGTGGTTTGCAGGGGTATGAACACACCTTTCTTCCAGAAACATCCCGGGGTGCAGCGCCTGTGTGCCTGAGAGTCGCCTGCCTGCCCACACTTTGACCACAGGACCCTGCTCTTTTACAGGCGCTGCCGCTGCCCCGGGTGCCTCTCAGCCGGCTGCCACGCCCCCTCCCGGCCAGATGGGATCGCACCCCACAGGTGGACGTCCTCAGTGCTGCACCACTCTGCAGGGTTTAATCTGGGCTGGGCTGTGAATGTGGGGCTCCCGGGCAAACCCCCTTCTTTCTCTCCCCTTCCTCTGGGCCTCGACTGTCCCGCTCAGGAATGTCTGACCCAGGCTTCAGCAATGCGGCCCCCGACTTCCAGCCGTGAGACTGCTGTTGTGGGGGGCTTGCTAGTGCTGACACCAGGTCACACCCAGGCTCTGAGGCGGTGGTCTGGGGTAGGGACTCTGCATTTGCACTTGGGATCAGAAAGTTGGGGTTCACCCGCACTGGTGAAGGGCTCCCCTGGGCTCTGTGTTTGCATCTGCCCAAAGGAGAGGGCATGGCCCTGGAAGCCCCATGCAGGGGAAGTGAGACTCCACGAGAGACACCCTGGGAAGGGGCCGAGGTGGGACGTGGTCCCCACTGTAAGCGGTGGGACAGGGGGTTGGGAGGGGCCCTCGGGAGAGGCATCCATGGATCCGCTTCCAGGGAGGGCCTCCTGCAGGATGCCGACGTGGGGAGGCAGTAGGAGGCTGTTACCCTGGAGGCCCCCCCTCCGAGTTCCAGCTGCAGGGGACACAGAGACCCCAGCTTTGTTGGAGGCTCACCTTTGCCTCAATGGCCACATGGCCTCCAGCCTTCCTTCCGGGTGGTCAGCGCTGCCTCTGGTCACTGGGGACGCTCAGAGCTGTGAGCACTGAGGCAGATTATAGGAGGGGTCACATCTTAGAACTGGTTGGAAAACACTGGGCCAGGCTTCCTGCTGGGGGAGGGGCTTGATTCCAGATCCCAGAAGTCTCCATGCTGTCCTGCCCCTGGCCCTGTCCGCCCCGGGAGAGGCTGAAGATGTCTGCTCCAGGGTCCCCTAGCTAGAAAGTTCTAAGGCAGGTGCAGGGCTTATTCAGAGGGTATGAAAAGTCTGTCCCTACCCCCACCCCCACCCATTCTATCCCTCTTCCTCTCCCTCCCTCTTCCCCCTCTCTTCTCTCCACCCCCTCTCCTTCTCTCCCACTCTCCTCCCCAGCTTTGGAACAGCCCATGCTCTGGGCATCCCTGTGGCCAGGAGGCCTCTCAGGGAAACTGGTGGGGGGTAGACAGGGGACATTTGAGCTGAGATCTGAGTCATAGGGCAGCCAACCAGGCCAGGAGTGGGTCTGGGAGAGGATATGGTGAGTGCAAAGGCCCTGGGGCAGGTGGCATACGGGAATGCCTTCATGTTTCAGGGTGGCAGAGAGAAGGCCACAGGCTAGGAGGGAGGGAGGGAAGAGGTGGAAGGTGGGGAGGAGCAGGGCAGAGGCTCAGGCTGTGCCAGCAAATGAGTGGAAAGGGTTTGCACTTTGTTCCTCCTGAGATGGGAAACCGCGGCAGCCGCGCTGTCCGACACCGTAGCTGTGCGGCCATTTATGCTTACGTTTAACTCAAATAAAATAAGGAATCCAGTGCCTCGCCTACACTGCCACTGCCCACACATTAAGAGCTCAGGGCCTCATGTGGCTGGTGGCTGCCGTGCGGGACCGTGCAGAGAGCAAACACGCTCATCCCTGCAGAAATTTCCAGTGGCAGGCACTGCCCAGAGGGCTGGGAGCTGGGTCATGCAGTGAGCCAGTGCTGGCTGTGAGGGGACCATCTGGGTCTCTGTGGACCAGAAAACTGTTTGGAGGGAGGGCCAGGCCTAAGACACTGCCCAGGCAGGCCTACGGGGTGGGGCCGCGGCAGGTTCCGCCTGGTTTTGCAGGTGGAGCCAGTGGGGTGTGATGGAGGGAGGTGTCCTTGGTTGAGCGGGGCAGGGGCTGGGGCTCCCTTTGGAGATGGTAAAAGAGGAGAGTCCGGTCTGGGGGGCATGCGGGGTTGAGAGTCCTGGGATGCCCTGTCTGATGGAGGCTGGATGCCCCATTGGAGCTCGGGCGGGGAAGAGGTCAGGCTGGAGGTCACGGGGACTCGGGGCCACTTGCTGAGCGCTTGTTCCGGGCCGGCCTGTCCTGGGCTGTGGCTGTACCACCGCTCCTTCCCTCCCGTCTCTCTGTGAGATGGAGGCAGCCTGCGACTGTTTACAAGGAAAGAAACTGGGGCTCAGGGGCAATAAGCCACTGTACCAAGTTTCACGGGTGGCGCACATGGGGCTGGAACCCAGGGCCCCACGGCTTTGCGCTGGGGCTCACGGGGGTGGGATAGCCCCCCACAGAGCGCCTGGCCCGCGCCTAACTGTCCCCCTTGATCTGCCCTCTTCCAGACCTGACCTTGCAGCTACGGGCCGTGCGCAGGAAGAGCGGGCAGCCTGACCCCAGCCTGCAGCAGGTCCTGCGGGGCCGGCTCCGCCTGCTGGAGAACGACAGTCGGGAGGTGGCCCGTGCTCTTGGGGTGAGTCTGGCTCCTCTGGGGGCCTGGGGGCCGGAAGGTGCAGGGGCTCCACGCTGGAGAACGGGGCAGAGGAGGCCTGCTTGGAGAAGAGTGCGGTGGACCTAGGAAGAGGAGGGCCTGTCCGTGATGTCCAGGCCTCCTGGGACGACGGTCAGGGGAGGGGGCGGCCATGCCTTGACCTCACCTGATGGTGGCACTGTGACTTGTCCCGTTTGCACTCCTGGATTTCTGGCGCCAGGGATCACGGATTACACGCTGCAGCCCAGACACATGTGGGCTGTTCCGAATGCCCCAGCTCCTATCTCCAGGGACGTGCCACCCTGCCAGGACTTTTAGTCTCTTTCTAGGGAGTAAGAAGGACCAGTGTGGGTTGAGCTTACTCTTCGATTTGTTGGTGACTGGCCTCTGCACAGAGGGCCGGTCTGGCAGGAGGGTGGTGAAGGCGGCTGGGCGGTCACCATCTGACCTTGCACTCAGCCTGGCTTGACCTTGGCCGGTGCCCCTGAGCCTCTGTGAATGCCGCTTCCTCAGCCACACACTGGGGTTGCTTAGAATTGCTGCCCCACGGAGCTGATGGGAGGGCCTGTGCACAGCAGGCGTCGCACACTCAGCACAGTGCTCCGCTACGGGGCTGCCCCTGTGGGGCCAGGCAAGAGTAGGTGGTTAAACGCACTGGCTCTGGTCTGATTCCCGGCTGTGCCAATTACTGAGGGTCAGACCTCAGAGAGGAAATGCGGCCTTATTTTCTCAATTCAAATGGAGATGTTGTGAGCACCCACTGCCCCCAACACACACGCTTGGTCGGTGTCAGCCTGGCGTTACTTTTAATGCCCCAGCACCATCAGGAGTGTTCATGGGATGGACGTCAGGAGACGGGATGATGGATTTACTATTGAAACCCAAGTTGAAGCTGCAGGAGGGGGCCGGAGGCGAGGCTGGGGCTGCACAGGGCTGAGCACAGCCGGAGCACGGAGAACCTGGTATCGCTGGTGTGTTGGGCTTGCGGCAGGTGGAACTGTCACATGGGGTCACAGAGGATGCAGGCTCAGAGCATGGAGGCCGTGCAAGCTCTGGGAAGGAGTAGGGCTTGGTACAGCACTGAGGAGCTACAGATGGCTTGAGAGTTGGAGAGGAGCCACTTGATTGTAAAGGAATCAGCTCTGTGCTTGCTGCCCCCACCAAGGTCCCTTCTGCAAAATGTTTCTGTTGCATGGCTGATGCCCCAGATGCCCCAAAGCCACGAGGACTGTTTCTCATTTCTGTTTCTTCCCCGTAAGGAGCTGTCGGCCAGGCTGCTGTCCATCCACAGCGACCAGGATCGGATTGTGGTGACATTTAAGACTTTTGAAGAAATCTGGAAGTTCTCTACCTACCATGCTCTTGGTAAGGCAGTGGTCCTCCCAGAACCGGCTATGGGACACCCCTTGGGGGATGCTTGTCACACATTAAACACTTTCTGTTACAGCTGGGGCTTTAGACCAGGCTAGCTCATGACAGCCTCTCCGTGCGCTCCCCTGTTCTCCATGAGGACTGATGTCACAGGAGGAGCTGCAGACTCACACGGGTCTGTGCTGGGAACACGTCTTACACCGAGTTTCCAAATTCCTTCCAAGTCTGTGCCCGAGGGAAACTGAGCTCTGACTGGCAGAGCACAGACCAGGAAACGTGTCTCAGCCTCCACCCGAGTGGTTTCTTCCTGAAACAGTCCCTGTTTTAAAGGAGGCTTCAGCTGTCTAAGTTCCTCTCCTTGGGAACCCTGCTGCCCCACGCCCAGGCTGAGGACCGAGGAAGTGGAAAATAAGAATCAGGAAGACGGTTTCTTGTGCACCTTGAGCAGGGCTGTGCCAGCACCCCCAGCATTCTGATCTCCCTGAATGTTCTTGTCCCATCTCATTCATAGAAGAGGAGACCAAGGGTCCTAGAGGAAGTGACTTGCCCTTGCCCAGCCTTCCCAAGGCCCACAGAGTCAGGGTGCGTTGTCCGTGATCACAGCTGGTCCTTGAGCAGCCTGGATGGCCAGACCCACGGCCTGCCCGGTTCGTGGACAGTACTATGCGTCCCCAAGGGCAGGATGGGCTGTCTCCCTGCGCCTGGTCAGTGTGGGGCTCAGCCAACACCGGGCCGTGACGGCTTCCCTTCCCACTGTCTGGAGCCCGCTGGTGACCAGGGCTTTCTGGCTCCCTCAGGCTTCACGCACCACTGCCTGGAAAACCTGCTCATGGACCAGGACTTCTGGCTGCTTGCGCCCCACAAGGATGAGGAGACGGCGATTCAGGTCCACGTGGATGAGGAGGCCTTGAAGCTGACACATGAGAGCCTCCTGGTCCAGGAAGGTGAGCCCTGCTTGGGTGATGGTGATGTGGGCCAGCTCCTTACTGCGCTGCAGACGCCTGGGGACGCCCAGGGCAGCAGGAGGGCTCTGGAGCTGCCGGGGGCTCGGGAGCTTTGAGCAGGGAGGGTACGTGCTTCTGGAACTTAGTTGTGCAGACCGTGGTCAGCCCCCAAAGAAACGCCAGAAGAGGGGCTTTTGCAAGTGCCCCACCCCTACCCCGCATCCCTGCCCCAGCTGTCGCTCCGAGAGCCTCGGTGGCCTCACAGGTGGGCTCCGAGCCTGCAGCGAACACAGCGCGAGCTGTGCGTCCTGCCGCGGCCACAGAGCGGACGGGGTGGGGGCCGGCTGCGGTCAGACTTGCTGGCGGGTGTCCAGGCCACAGGGCCCTTGGGATCGCGTGTCTGGCCCCTCATAGCCCAGACAGAGGGGAAACTGAGGTCCAGGGAGTCAGGATGAGCCGGGCTCCCAGGGCCAGCCCAGGCAGAGGAGGGACTCCTGTCCAGGTCCAGCCTCCCAGTCCGGGCCCTGGGGGCCTCCAGTGTCTTTCTGTGGATGTAGAAACGGAGTGGAGGGGAGGGGAAAGGACCTCTGCAGTGCTGCCTGGTGGGGCGGGGTGGTCCTGCCCTGTGTCCAGCTGCCCTAAATGACCAATCTCTGTCACTTTGAAGGGCCTTTCTTTGTCCTGTGTCCTGACCACCACGTGAGAGTGATAACGGGTCCCCAGCCACTCAGGCGGGCTGCGGGGAGTCCCCTGGCAGAGGTGGCCCCGACAGTGGGCTCCTCAGCCCCCAGTCCCAGCACACCCTCGGAGGTGGGGGCAGCAGCCGCCACTGCAGAACCTTTGGAACCATTCCATCAGTAGGTACCGACATTTGTTTCTCTGCTCTGGTCTATCCATAGGCCAAGGCGGGTGGGTGGAGAACGGTGTGAGCCCCAGACAGACCCAGCCATGACCCCTTCTGCTGTTTTCAGTGTGTGGCCTCGGCCAGCCAGACCAGCTCTCTGGGCCTCAAGCCTGTCCCGTGCACGACAGGACACTGACATTTCCTGGCAGGGCTGTCCTGGGATGACAAGGGCCCAGGAGTATGAAGGATGGGGCTCTGGCTTCCTGTTCCAGCTCATTCTGGAAATCTTTGGATGGAGCCACACAGCCTGTGCCCATAGTAAGGGAGCATGAAGGGATCTGTGCAAATAAGAGCCAAGGCAGAGAAAGCCTGAGGAAAGTGAGGACAGGTGGCATGTAAGCTTCTGCTCATGTACTGAACGTAGGGCATAAACTTGGCTTGGAGCTTCCTGGTGGCCAAAGCAAAGAGAGAAATTCAATCTCCTCATGTTCAGTGGCTGTGAAGTAACAGTCTGTGGCTCAGCTTCTCCCCCTGGATTGGGGGGGGGGTCTCCGAGGACGCCAGCCTGAGGACGGGGAGGAGGCACCTGGGCGGGGGGACGTGGGGCACAGCTGGGCCTGAATGCCTTACCCCCGGGCGTGTGCTTGTGTGTGCCTGTGTGTGTGCGTGCAGTGGGGCAGGTGGTGAATTCTGCTTGGGTCCCTGGGGGCTGCTGACTTGTCCAGACTACATGCAGGCTCAGTCTGCCCCAGATCTGAACTCCCCTCTCACCTCGCTCCAGGTGGGCTCTTAGGGTCCCCTGGGACCCCATCAGCGACTCCATGGGTGGACCTGTGACACCGGACAGCCAGCAGATGGGTAAATGTTTCCATTGGCTCTCCTCCCCTGGGGAAGAGGCGGGTAAGGAGGGGTGGGTACCAGCATTCTGAAAGCTTTCGTGCTCACCCTGAATCCTCCCCGAGGTAGCCAGAAGAGGTAGCTAGAATCCTCTCTGATTCGAGAAGCAAAAACGGAGGATCAGAGAGGTCCATGGCTGGCCCAAACCCACACAGCACACAGCGAGGCCAGGACTCTGGCCACTGTGCTTCTAGAGTGTGACTCCACACACTGTTCAACAAGCACTTTCTCAGATTTTGCTGCCTTCCGGGTGCTACGTCAGACACCTTGGAGGACCCTGGGGTAGGGGTAGAGGGGTGCGGGCTAGGCCCCCATCTGAATTCTCCACGGGGCATTAAAGGAGCATGAGGCAGGGGTCTTCTTCTGGGGAAGACGGCTTGGGCTCCTGGCCCAGCGTGCGTTGCTGTGCCCCAGGCTGGCCGGTGTCTGTGTGGCCTCGCGTACCTGTCAAATGGACGTCAGGCCCACAGGAGGACACTTACAGCTGTATTTGCTCTGGGGGGGCCCTGGCTTTGGATGCTGACGGCCCTGGGCCAAGTTCATCAGCGTCTCCTGGCCTCCGTTCCTCATCCTCAGTGTGAGGATAAAGTGTCCCCTTCAAGGGGGTGGGACATCCAGCCCCTCATGTGCGGTGGCCCCGCAACCCCAGCCAGGTGCCAGATGAGTTCCTCATCAGGACCATGTGTTCCCCAGCTGGGGCACCAACTGGCTGGCCAAGGGCCACTCGTCTGCCCGCCCAGCCCCCCAGCACTGACCATGTGGCCTCCTTCCTGCAGCTGTGGGCCTGGCCTCGGCAGTGGCAGACTACCAGGGCTCGGGGCCCGAAGAGATGACTTTCCAAAGTGGCGACCACATAGAGATCCTGGGCGCCCAAGTGCCCGGCCTGCCCTGGTGCATGGGCCGGCACGTGGCCTCTGGCCAGGTCGGGTTTGTGAGGACGAGTCTCATCCATGTGCAGGGCCCAGTGTCTGAGTGAGTGGCCAAGGCCCCACCCCTTTCTGAGTCCACCCTTTGCCCCTGTGGGACCCCTGCCCTGAACACCCGCTTCCTAGGTGACAGATCTGGGCGGCGGCCTGGACAGCACCCCTGCCCTTCCCCCTCCCCTCCTCGTCGTCCCTCCCACCTCTGTCCCCAGGACTAGGCCTAGCCCAAGCCCAGGGCCGTCCCACTGCCCCCAGCTTCCTGTCTGGACCCCTCCCACCCCCCTCCCAGTGCTGCTAGGGCCTGGCCCCTGAAATACATAGCTGTCCCTGTGCATGAGCGCCCCAGGGCTGCGGGGAGAGAACCACAAACAGAGGGCTTGAAACAGCAGGCTGGAGGCAGACGTCCCAGCCAAGGTGTGAGCAGGGCTGCCTCCCTCAGAGCCTCCAGGGGAGGGTCCTGCCAGCCTCTTCAGCTCCAGCGGCTCTAGGCGTCCCCGTGGCCGCATCGTCCCAACCTCCGCCTCCGTCTTCCTGTGGCCTCTTCCCCGTGTCTGTGCCCTCTCCTCCGCCTCTCCTGTTGCTGGATTAGGGGCCAGATAACCCAGAATCATGTCCTGCTGCCAGGACCCTTTACTTGACTGCATCTAAAAATCCTACTTTCAAACATTCAACCCCGTACACCAGGCCGCTCCCCTTCATCAAACCTTCAAAGTTCTGGGCCTGGCCTTCAGGGCCCCCAGCCCAGGCCCTGGTAACCCTCAGTTTCATGGGCTCCCACTCACCATCATCTCACCCTAAGTCTAGCCCTGGGAGTTGGCTCGCCCCTTCTAGGACGATGCTGGTTCGACATGCGCGTCCCCCGGTGTGAGACGCCCCCTCCGTCCCGACCGTACCGTTGTCCAGGGACCCTCACTGGTCCCGTCTCATCGCCAGTAGCTCATCCCTGGGGGCGCCCTTCCTGGCTGGCCGGTCACCTCTGTGCCCCCACCACCTGACCCTGGACGGCAACGGGGGGTCTGGGGAGAGTGGTCAGCAAGCACAACTGTGTTCTTGACCTTTTCTTGTTCAGCCTTCAGCCCAGGAGTCAGTGTGTAGAGAAGTCCCTTTGCAGGGCCAGCACCCAGCCGGGCCTCACCATGCACAAACATGGGGTGCACGTCCTCAGGGCCCCCCAGCCCGGACAGCCCAGCTCGTTCTTGCCTAACGCTGCAGACAGACCGACAACCCCCAGACCAACTCTCAGAGGCCACTTGGGCATCATGACGAGTCCCACAGTCACTTTGTTCCCTGACTCAAGTGTCTGTCTGTTCTGGCACCTCTTTGCCCCTGTTCACGAGAAGCAGTTTGAAGCTGGGCTGGGCTCGGACGCCCCACCTGTGGTTCCCAAGGTGTGCGCTCCCCCAGGGATCCATTCCGAACTTCCTCAGTAGGGATGTGCCCCCTACGCGCCCTGGTTGGCAGTCCACAGGGATTCCCAGCACAAGGAAGGCACCCAGAGTCTGAGTTTTCTTTCTCCTGCTGAAATGTGTTTCCCACCCTATTGGACGTCCAGACTCCTTTTTGCACACAGCCCATCGCCTGGTATTCTGTGCAGCCCTCTGGGGGCCCCTGGGCTAGATGCCTTCCAGCATCTCTGAGGAGCCCACAACTTCTCCACAGACAGGGGTCCTTGAGAATTGAACATGCCCTGAGCTTGTCAAGGGTCTGAGCTGCTATTGCTGTGGGGAGGAGCCAGCCTGCTGCCCTCCCTTCTCCCAGAAGGGCAATGGGGCCTGGTGCCATTGGTCCTGTTTACAGCTGGAGAAGCCCTACCAACTCCTTTCCTTCACTCTACAGACGTTTACTGAGCGTCTTTCCTATTCCAGATCTGGACTTACATCCTTTGTTTTGTGGTTATTCTTCATTTCTTTTAACTTTATTTTGACATAATTTCAGACTTAGACAAAAGTTGCAAGGAGAGCATAAAATTCCTGCATATCCTTCACCCAGATTGCCCAGATGTTAATGTTATGACATTTACTTTCTCCTCTTCTTTTTTTTCAATTTTTTTGCCTAAATTCTTTGGGAGTTATTTGCAAGCATGATGTCCCTTTACTCCTAAAGAATGCACTGTGTGTTTCCTAAAACCAGGACATGGCTTACATAGCCACACACACCTGTCAGAATCAGGAAGTTAACATTATTACAATACTGTCATCTGCAGGCCTTATTCAGATTTTGCCACTTTTCCCAGTAATTCCCTCTACAGCCAAAGAAAATTCCAGACTACGTGTTACCAGTTCTCCATCTCTTCAGTCTTGTCTCCTTGATCTGAAACAGTCCCTCGGTGTCTCTGTCCTTTAGGACACTGACATTTGTAAGGAATAGAAGCCTGCTGTTTTGTCGAATATCCCACAATCTGCCCTGAGGCTTTCTTGAACTTCTCAAAATAGCTCCCTCTAAGTACATCCAAAGTACATTTGAAAGTCTTGCATTTTGCTGGTGACTTGGTCCTATAAGCAGAAATTGCTCCCCTCTTCCTCCCTCTGTTCCTTCCTATTTTTCCCCACCCTGACTTCTCAGAGCACACAAGTGCCCTGTGTCCGTGCTGGGCACTGGGGAAAGCACTGGCAGAAGTCATGTGAGGCGCTGTGGGCGCTTTCATTGTGGAGGGATCAGGTCTGCCTGTAACTGTCAGGGCCAGCCTTGCAGGGGAAAGGGCATTTGAGGTGGGGTTTTGAAGGCTGTCCAGGAGCTTACCTCCCCAGGATGCTGTGACCTGCTGCATCTATCACAGCCTTCCCTACTCCTGGGTGTCTGCCTCCAGCAAGACAAAGCACCCTTGGGAACAGGATCTATTTTTTTTATATCCTGGTGTTTTTACCGCTAGGCACAGGGCAGGTGTACAGGGACTGTCTGTCAAGTTAGGGAGTAGAAAAGGGTCTTAGTGTGAAATGTTTATTTTGGAAAAGAGCAATCTAACATGCACTTTATTTTTTCCAGTTTGGAAAATGTAATTTTTCTCAATGAAGAAGAAAGGTCTTTCTTCAGCAGCGAAGGATGCTTTTCTGAAAAGGATGCCAGGCAGCTGCTGATGAGGACTTCTGGCACTGACATCTGCACTGCGTACAGCTTGGGTAGGTGTAGGGGGGCTCCGGCGGGGGGTGCTGCTCCTCCCCCCACCTCACGCTGGCTGCAGGGACATCTCAGGACCGGCAGCCGGTTACACCCTATAGCTGAGGGTTTAGGACAGTTCTCTTGGGGCAGATTCCTGGAAAGACAAGGAGGGTGCAGAGCTAAGCCTCTTTCCCATAAGGCTGAACTAACTGGTACCCCATCCACCCTGTGCCATCGACCCTGGGCTCCGGGAGTTTGGACCGTCTCCTCAGTAGGGTGTTGGATGGTTCTGGCCTCATGCACTGTTCACAGCAGCACCCCTCGGCCCCCACCCCGCTTCCCTTCGGGAATGCTCTGTTCCCTCTGCTATTCCATGGTCATGAACACCAGCCCTGGCACTTAAAGGGGATTCTACAAGTGCTGTCGCTGCCTTTGGGGCAGGTAGGGCCACACAAGGCCAGGCAGGCCAGACACAGAGGGAGGAACAGGGCCAGAGCCAGGGAGGCGCAGGAGAGCGGCCCCAAGCCCCCCATCCGCCCGAGGCCTCCCTCACTCCGGGCGCTGGGGCGGCGGCGAGCGTGCCGGCCGGTTCTGTTCCGGCCAGCCCTGCCCTGGCCCTCTGCCCACTCCGTGTAAGGGGGACCTCCCTCCCCACCATCGGATCAGGACTCCGGGCTCTCGAGGCTGTGGTCTGGCCTGGGTTGCCTGGCCTCTGGGTGGCCGGGGCTACACTTCAGGGTGGCCACCTCCTGAACACAATGCTGTTCTGTTGATCTCAAGGCCCTCAGTTTAGGAAAGGATTTCTCTGGGGCTGCAGTGCAAATCATAGGTGAAGGAAGTGTGTCAACGGCCACAATGAAAGAAAATGTGGCAGAGGGGACAGTGCTGGAGCGACTCGCCAGTCCCCCTACAGGGATGTGGCTGCACAGCTCATTCCTTTCTCCTGCCAGACGGAGGTGCGTGCACGTGTGTGCACACCCACACAGACACAGGTATGCACACACACGTACGTGCACACACACCATACACTGACAGACACATGTGCAGACACACACGTGCAGACACACTCACACAAATGCAGACACACACCCCTGCACACACACAACTGTACACACACAGGGGCACACATGAAAACACACACATCCACCTACACATCCACGCATGTGTGCGCACGTGCGTACACGTATACACACACACACGTGTCCACACACATCCTTTCTGCCGCTGGCTGACACGCATTCCCACCAATATGAGATTTGCTTCCTAGATCCCTCTAGTCGGCTCCTCCTCCTCAACAGACAAACACATTTGACCGTAGCCGGTCAGGTTCAAGCCCGCCTGGCTTACGACCTCCTTTTCTTCAGGAAGCCGCGTGGCGACCTTGCTCGGGGTGTTGTGGGGTCCTCTGAGCAGGACTATGTGGTCGACAGCACACGGCGCTTCATGTGTCTTTTTACAGCTCTTCTTCCCTCGCTGGGTTTCTCTGGCAACCCCGTGGGCTGTCAGTGTCAGCCCGCTTTAAGGGGGTGGGAACTGAGGCATGGGAATGGGCAGGCAGTCAGATGAGGAGGGGCTCAACCCCAGAGGGGCCGCCCTGCCCCTGGGAGAGCCCACGGAACCCGGAACCCGGGGCAGCCCTCGGGGGGCGTGTGACTCCTGTTCCCAGAGGGCAGCGGTGGAAGGCGGCAGCCTCTTGAGGGCGGATGGAGTCCTGCGGGGGTGGGGGTGAGGGGGGAGGAGATGGGGCAGGAGCACATTCTGGAAGACAAGGCTTCTCGGCCGGCGCCCCTCGCTGCCGCCCCAGCCTGCTTCCCCTCAGGGGCGCTGGTGTCAGGGTGTCAGTATCCGGGCCCTCACTGACATCCCTGGTCCAGGGGGACTGGCCCCAGGGTGACGCTCCCTTCTCTCCCTTTTCAGACATGTTAGAAGAGGCTGAGCCTCAGCAGCAGAAAATACATGGTAGGTTCTTCCCACACAGCCCGGGGTCCCTCTGGTCACGGGGGTGGTCTCGGGGTGACAGGGGGCAGAGGTGGCAGAGCTAGGCTTGAGTGGGCACTGGCTGCAGACCTCCATCCTCCGTGGGGGAGGGCTGGTGGGCAGGGAGTCCAGCCCGGGAGGGGAGGTTGGATGAGGTGGAGGTGAACCATCCCTCCACTGCTGCAGTGGGTCCCCAACAAACATGCCAGCCCCCGGCCCTGTCCCCAGCAAAGGTGGGGCACCCCCTCCATTGCCCGAGCTCATGCCTGACTCAGGGTTCCTTTCATGCAACTTAGAGCAGCTGAAATTTGCCCCGTGAGCTGCTCGGATGGGTGCGGGGGTGCTGGGGGCACTGAATTTGGAGACTGATGTTGGGGAAGTCCCGCGAGGGTCTGCTCCTTCCCCTGGGGGCCTGGTTCAAGGACACCCCCCGTCTCTCCCTCCACACCTCCATCTCTCCCACAACAGAGGGGTTGCATTGGGAGGCCTGGGGACACAAGTGCCCGGGGACCCTTTGAGCTTCCCGGGAAATGGGAACTGTCCAAGCACAAACACAGATGGGCCACTGTGGGACACGGGCGGGCGAGGAGGCTTGGAAGCCAGTCCCCCGGGGCCCTCCCTCCAAGAAGCTGCAGACTTGCCTTCAGGGGAGGCTCTCCCGCCTGCCCAGGTCCTGGCAGCAAAGGCTCCTCCAGCCGTGGGAGGCAGGGTGACCAGGACAGCACTGGGAGCACACGATGGGAGCCCACTGGCCTCCACCGGGAGCGGGTGCTTCTTAGCGAATCCAGCGCTTGGTCAAGTCTGACGCTTACTGCTCAACCACATTTAATGTTTTAAATTCCTAGCTTTTACAGAAGAATAAAGAGACAGTCTTGAACATGTTTTTTTAAAAGTGAACTTGAGACAGAAGTTTCTAGGTCCTGGTTCCTTCCTTCCTTCCAAATTCCCCTTCAAATCCTGTGTTTTTCCAGCAGGAAGTGTAGCTTGTTTGCTCCTCAAGGCTGGACGGGCCTTGGGGCCCTGAGTCCATCCAAAGCCAACAGTCCCTCAGCAGGCAGCCTGGGCAGCTCCACGGCCCCAGGCCCTCCAGCACTCTTTTTTTTAACCCTTTAGTAGGCCTCAGATTCCCGAATCAGCCAAGAGGAAGGGGGTGCCCGGGGGTCTGGGAGCTGTGCTCAGTGTTTCCTGTTGGAACAGCCCCCGGGGCTAGAGCCGTGCAGATGGACACAGCCGCCACTGTCCTCCGCCGTGGTTGGTTTATTGGTTCTGTGGGAGATTCACGGCAGCCCCGGGGGCACGTAGTATCTGTAACTTCCAATGACAGGGACATGGCGGCTTGGGGAGGAACGCCCCTGCCCGGCCTGGACCCAGAACAGACTCTAACCCATCTGGGGGTTTCGGTAATTTGCAGAAATGCCTCCGCCTGGCTTGAGCCAGGAGCCACGTGAGACCCTGAAGAAGGTGAAGAATGTTCTCGAACAGTGCAAGTCCTGCCAGGGCTGCCCTGAGGCACCAGCGTCCCCGGACTTCC